GCGGGCGAGGGTCGGTGGGCGCCATCACGAGGAGAAACCCCTGGGAGAAAGTGTCTGGGGTGTGCTTACAGCTGGCCCCGGCAGGGGGGAGGGGGGGGGCTTTGCCTGCGCGGTGGGAAGGCGGAAGCTGTGTGTTCGAGAGCGCTGGCGGGAGAAAGCCTGTAGGGGACTGGGGAGATGGGGAGAGGTAACTCCTTAACTCCTTGGCTCAGTGATGTTCTTCTGTAGGCGTTTACTGCTAACTTCAAACACCTCTTCGGAAAACCAGGGACTAAAAATTGCCCATGGGATGTGTGTGAATTTGAAACTGTACTTACTATGCAAGCTGTTGGTAGAAGTGCTGTGAGAGGCTGCTGTTTCCTGTTTTGTCAGGCTTTAAAAAACAAGTGAATCCCTCTATTTACAGGGCCAGAATTTAGTGACTCAGCTGTGTTTATGAAACTTCTTGGATTTTGCCCATACTTGTGTTGGCATTGTAATCCTCCTACCGAGTATCGGTGGGAGCAAGAAAGTTCAAATTCGTTTGCATACTGGTCGTTCAGCTAGAAAACACATACCCCAGTTGTTTCATTTTTAACCTTATCCCAGTCAACCTTTCCTATTTCTGCAAATGATAAAGTAATGATCACTTATATAAGTGGTAAAGTTTGAGGCCTTTTTCCCCGACTGAGAAGTGTTTAGTGTCCTTTTAGAACATAAAGTCGTAATGGGAAAGGAAAAAGCACCAAATTCAAGGAAAGTCTTGTGCTCTCTTCATGTTCTGTTTAGAGTGTGCAGCTTCTCTGAGCTAGTTCACAGCTCAAAAGGCTGTGGAAAACAATGTTAGCGTCAGAGATTTAAGCTATTGTCTTACTAGTTTAGTGCAGTGACTCCCAAGGGACCTAGGGATCTCAAAAGGAAGCTACAGAAAACAAACTCATCTATTCTATTGATTTGTGTAAGAAAAACAAATCCTTATTTTTCTATGCCCTGATTGGAAATTTCTTTTCTTTTTAGGGATTGCTTTGTGAAAGCAAAAAAGGCACTAAAATCTCTTACTTCATTTCATACTGCCATAGAAACCTTTCAGGACCAAGTAACAGTTTGTGAATAGAAGTCTTTCATTTTCTTGGTCTTGAATGTCTTTTTGCTCCAGGGTACATTTCATATCATTCTAGTCTTCTTTTACAACACTTTTACAGATACGGTAATAATTATGATCTGTGTTTACATAATACAATTCATAATAATCGTAAAACACTTATGCTACCAGAAATCAAAGAAATTAAAGAATAGAGAAGGAACTCCTGAGAGCATTTGGTTTAAAATGTGACTGCAGATAAGAAGATAGTAACAAAATGTCAGCGTGCTATATTTGAAGACAGCTTTGTTGGTGCGTGATCCTGTTTACAGCTTCTTCTCACTAAGAAAGATCTGTTTCCACACCGCTGGTGAGACTCCAGCCTCAGCAATGGCTCAGAATGCCTGGGTTTTTACGTTTCATGGCATATGGGAGTTACAAATGATTTCTTTATGAATTTGACGATTATGCCTGTTTGACTAATATGATTTTTGTATATGAAAGTTGTATTCAACGCTGTTGGATCCTTTTGCTTTAAGTACTTGTGTGGTGGGTTCTGCATGCAAACAGCTTTCAGTGTTTTATTTAGCAATAAGTAAGTATTTAACCAATTTGTATTTTGTTCTTACAAGTGCAGATCATGTTTGACAGATAATGAGAAAAGAACATTGGGTGTATCTACAAAGATTCTGTCTTGAGCCCGTGATTAGGAACATGGAATCATTTACTCAACCAACAGCTGTGCGGATTAAATATGTATTTGTTTTTGTGGTGATGAGTAATTTATGGTCATGCAAATTTGTCAGGTGTTTCTTTTGAAATCTGAGAGTTAGTTTAGCTATTGGCCAAAGACATTACCACTGCTACCCATCTTGCTTTTTGGTTTTTATGGTGTACCGCCTCAGCATGGCAGCAGTGTAGCCAATGAGGTGAGTCATAGGTGCTGTGTTCCTAGTTGAAAATGTGTCCCGATATCCCACTAAGGTGGCTTGGAATACAGCTGTCAGTCTTGGCTGTGTTTCTAAGCCTCTATGGAAACTGTAAGGCATTGGCTGTAACCCACAGTTCCTTCCCAGCTCTTCTCTAAGAGTAATCCCTATGGGGGTTCATGTTTTGTGGGAGTCCTCTGACATTTTTCTTTTGTATCTTTTTTTTTTTTTTTCTGATTTGGAAAATCGTTGATCTGTGTTAACCTTAGCAGTTTGTATGTGGCGAACGAGGAGTAACCTTA